CCCCCCCGCCACCCACTCACCTATGCCCGTGCTGTACCCTGCCCTCTGTGCTAAGGAGCTGTGGTGTTGTGTGCTTGCAGCCTGCCCGGCACTCTCACACTGCTGTCGAGTGGAGGGGGCGCATGCTGATCTTTGGTGGTCAGTTGGCAAACGGCTCGCTGGCCAGTGATGTCTGGCTGTACGAGGCTGTCCCTGAGAGCTGGAAGCTGCTGTTGGCATCGACCTCACTAACTCCACCAGGACTAGCTTCACATGCAGCTACAGTCGTTGATCAGTATCTGTACGTGTACGGTGGTAAGTGTGTACTACCGTGAGTGTGTGTGGCTGTACCCGGTGAGTGTGAACTTGTGTGTGTGTGTGTGTGTATGTGTGTGTGTGTGTGTGAGAGAGAACAATGGTGTGTCTGAGTGTGTATAGGGGTGAGTGCGAACTACCTTCTGTGTGATTATGTATACAGGGATGTGTGTGTGTGTGTGTGTGTGTTTATGGGGGTGAGTGTGAACTTCTGTGTGAGTGTGAACAATCGTGTCTGTGTGAGTGTGTATATTTGTGTGAAAACCTGTGTGCATGTCTGAACAACAGTGTGTGTGTGTGGCAGTGAGTGTGAACTGTTGTCTGTGGGGATGGGCGCGAGTGTGTGTGTGTATGTGTGTTGGGGTGTGGGTGGGGGAGTGTGTGTGTGTGTTTTGACTGTTTCTGTTGCTCCTCTCCAATCAGGTCGACTGGATCTCGACACGTTCAGTTCTCGGATGTTTCGGTTTAATCTCCTGAACCGGATCTGGGAGGAGGTCATTCCGACCGGAGGGAAGAGCCCCGCAGTGGCCGCTCACTCCATGATTTTCCACCCGGGTTCACGTACACTACTCGTCTTTGGGGGGCATCGCGTTTCTCCACGGTAAGAGAGACACTCTCCTGCTGACGCACTCCCTCTGTACATTGCCTCCGACACACTCCCTCATACACACTTCCCCCGTACACAGACCCGCTCCCTCGGACATGCTGCCCATGTACACTCCTGCAGAGACACTCCACTCCCCCCCGCACGCAGACACAGGTCGAGGTGAGATGTATTGTCACAGGGTGATGATTCTGTCGTCCCTCTCTCTCTCTCTCTCAGGTTCAGCTTTCGGACAAACACGACCGATATTTTTCATGTGGACGAGCGATACTGGACCGAGCTGAAATCCACTCCGTCCCCCAGCAGCCCCAGGGAGCGCGCCTTTCACACTGCCACCATTGTCGGCAACTACATGGTGGTATACGGTGAGGGGTGGGGCAGAAGCGTGCAGGGGGAGAATGTGAGGGGAGAGTGTGCGGTGGGTGGGTGCATGGGGAGGAATGGGGTCGTGGGTGCAATGGAATGCAATGTGTTTGCGTGAGAGTGCGAGGTGTCACAATCTGAGTGCATGTTTATGTTGTGAGCGCTGTGTGTGTCAGTCCCAGTCCAGATAGAGTACAATCAGTATGGTGAGATATTGGGGAGTGTGAATGTACAGAGGGATCTGGGTGTCCTTGTACATTAGGCAATGACAGTAGACGGGCAGCTACAGCAAGGAAGGCAGAGGGTGCATTGACCTTCATTGCAAGAGGCTTGGAGTTCAGATGTAGGAATGTCTTACTGCAGTTAGACAGGGCCTTGGTGAGACCACCCCTGGAGTATTGTGTATAGTTGTGGCCTCCCTACCTGAGAGACGATATAATTACCACAGAGAGAGTGTAGCAGAGGGTCATGAGTTTGTATGCCTCTGTGTGTCTCAGTCTGTGTCAGTCTCTGCTGGGAAGACCCAGAGCAGGAGGGAGAGAGGGATTGGTGCGTCCACAGGGTGAACTGTGACCCACGGGGACAGGAGAAGCTCTGGCAGTGGGAGAACACTGCACGTACCGAGGGCTCTAAGCAGCTGATCTCTTCTCTGGCCTTAGGTGGTAACGTACACATCCACTATCATGAGGAGAAGTGTTACGATGGAGACATTTTCTTCTACCACCTGGACTGTCATCAGTGGGTCTCCAGCGAGGAGCTCAGTCTTTCTATCAGCTCGGGAGATGGTAAGTCGGTGCACAAAACCTGAAACAGGAACAGGAGGAGTCTATCCAACTCCCTCAAGTGATGCTGTGCTGTACGATAAGATCCAGTTGGGGTGCAGTACACTGGAGTGTAAAGCATCCTCAACATTGTTCCCACCTAACATTCCCATAACAGGGACAGGTACGGGGTTAGATACAGAGTAAAGCATCCCTCTACACTGTCCTCTTCAAACACTCCCTGGACAGGGACAGTACTGGGTTAGATACAGAGTAAAGCTGCCTCTACACTGTTAAACTGAAAGGAAAGCCTGCTCTACACTGTCGCCATCAAACAGATACAGCATGGAGAGAGGTGCAGTGTATAGCCTGCTCAACACTGTCACCCAGCATTCCTAGGACACTAAACCAAACTCTATTGCAGCTTGCGTTTAGATACATTGTAAAGTCCTCTCTACACTGTCCCCCATCATACACTCCCAGGTCCAGGAAAGCACGGGGTTAGGTACAGAGTAAAGCTGCCTTTACACTGACCCCCACCGTCAAACACTCCCAGCACAGGGACAGCACGGAGTTAGATACAGAGTAAAGCTCCATCCACACTCTCCCCATCAAACACTCCCAGCACAGGGACAGCACAGGGTTAGATACGGAGGAAAGCTCCCATTACACTGCCCCCCATCAAACACTTCCAGGGACAGGGACAGCACAGGGTTAGATACAGAGTAAAACTCATTCCCCTCACTAGATGTACCAAGGGGTTGAATTTTTTGTGTTTGTTTTTTGTTTCAGGGCGGGAGAGTAAATCCTTCCGTGGACGGTATTCCCACGTGGCTGCAGTGATGAATGGGAATATCCTGCTGGTTGCCGGCGGTTACAGCGGCCACCCAATGGGTGACCTCGTAGCGTACAAGGTCCCCATCTTTGTGTCGCAGGTCTTGGTTCAAAACGTAAGTGCTGATTTGTGGGATCCCCGTGACCCTTATGGGTGGAATCGGGCCTGGCTGAAGGGCAAAGGTCAGAGGCCAGGAAGGAGCAAGGAGCTCAAACGTATGAGGAAGTCCGAAACGGGTATTTGTGTGAATGGCTGGGACCCAAATGGAATCTCCGTGGGCGATGGTGATGGGGACAGTGGTAGAGTTTGCTTTACATCACTGCACTAGTAATCCAGATGTCCTTTGTTAATGCTGTGAGGTTACATGTTCAAATGCCATCAGGGCCTGTGGAAGGAATTAAAAATCAGTGAATAAATCAGGAATTAGATACAGGATGTCAGAAAATCCACTGAGAACTCTCAACCATGGTTATAAAAACCCATTGGGGTCACCAGTGCTCTTAACTGGCCTGGGTCTACACGTAACTCCAGACCTTCCGCAACAGAGTTGACTCTTCACTATCCCCCTGAAATGGCTGAGTAAGACGCTGTATTCAAGGGCAGATAGAGATGGCTAACATATGCTGTTTGAAAGCCAGGCAGAATTATTTGATGTATTAATGTCATAGAGTCATACAGCATGGAAACAGATTCTTTGGTACCACCAGTCCATGCTGACCATAATCCCAAACTCAACTAGACCCACTTGCCTGTACTTGGCCTAACATTTCTTATTCATGTACTTATCCAAGTCTCTTTAACTGTTGTAACTGTAACCGCAGCTACCATTTCCTCTCAAAATTCATGCCACACACAAACCACTCTCTATAAAGAAATTGCCCCTCATGTCTTTATTAAATCTCTCTCCTCTCACCTGAACAAGAATGCCCCCTAGTCTTGAAATGCCCCATCCTAGGCACTTGCCATTCACCTTACCTATACCTCTCATGATTTTATAAACCTCTGAATCTCCTATGCTCCAGTGAGAAATGTCCCAGCCTTATCCAGCCTCTCCTTGTAACTCAAACCCTCCATTCCTAGTAAGTCTCTTCTGAGCCCTCTCCACTTGAATAACATCCTTCTTGCAACTGGAGGACCAGAACTTCACACAGTACTCCAGAAGAGGCCTCACCAACGTCCTGTAGTTGGGGACTGACAGTCAGGCTATCGAACCAGTGGTGAGGTCTGGAGCTGAGTAGATTGTGTTCAGAATGTGGGCCTTGTTTGTCAGAAAGGATTGGAGTGGTGGAAGGGTGCGTTTATCCCAGGGATGATAGTCGTCACATCTATTGGGAGTCTGGAAAAACAGGAAAATCCAGCTCCAAGGGGACGGGGGGTCAGAGACGGGCCTGTCTGAGGGGACAGGGGGTCGGAGACAGGGCTGTCAGTGGGGAGTGGGTGTGGGAGAGACTGGGGAGTGACAGTCAGTTCCGGGACTGACGGTGTGTGTATTAGGTGTGGCCTTTAGCCCTTTCTCTCGCTTTGTCTTGTGTTGCTCCCCTCCTGGATGCAGGTGCACCTGGATTACTGCTCACTGTACGGGCTGGAGGCCGCTTGTAACAAGGACCCAGAGTGTGTGTGGTGTCAGGCCCAGTGTCAGAGTTACCAGCAGTACAGTCTGGTGAGTGAGAGGGCCTGGGCTCCGGGGATGAGGGGGAGGGGTGGTGAAGCGTCGGTATTCTGTCCCACTTGTTATTTATATGCCTCAGTTTGCTGAGTGGTTGGTATTACTTCAGGTTCTGTTTCTCAGTAGTTTGTACACAGGGTCGAATTGAATGTGTTTGTAGATGGAGTCCCAGTTGGAATGCCAGATCTCCACGAATTCCCTGGCATGTCTCTCTGTTTGGCTTGTGCAGTTATGGATGTTATGAATGTGTTGTCCCAGTTGAATTCGTGTCCTTGTTTGACAGTGTGTATTGAGACCAATGAGAATTGGTCGTGTCCCTCAGTGGTTAATTGGTGTTTGTGTATCCTTCCACCCCAGCAAACCGAGGCATATAAACAACAAGTGGGACAGAATACCAACACTTCACAGGAGGCGTACTGACGATGTAAGCTTGCAGGGGAACGAAACGTCAGCAATCAGACGCGACAGCTCAGCGAGCAAGTCTACAATCTTAACTGTGTGTGCGTGCATCTGTCTGTCTGTCTGTGTATGTCAGTATTGGTCTGTCTGTGTTCCTGTCCGTGGTGTGTGTGTGTGTCTCGGACAGGGCAGCGTGCTCTGTGTGTGTGTGTCTGGGACAGGGCAGCGTGCTCTGTGTGTGTGTGTGTGTGTGTGTGTCTGGGACAGGGCAGCGTGCTGTGTGTGT